AATTTTAAGAAAAACTTCAATGATCAATGAATGACGCACTTGCCAAATTTTTCCACTTCGATGCGAAATGCATCGGCCGGGCATTTCATTATTTACGAAAAGTAAACAGGCTGGCAAAAGACAGTGGGTACAGTAACGGGTCACGTCGTTGACGTCCCATTCATGACCATCAACAAAGAAGGCGGGGCTTATTCTGATTACGGAGATGCGGAAATGCTACAGACGGACGTAGTGCAGTACGCTTAACATCGTGTTATTTTCGTATTTGTGGCAAACTCTATCGTAGGAAACCGTTCTAACATAGCAGAATGCCCTAGTTCCTGATCGGCGATTTGGTAGTCCAATGGGTCCCCATATTTAAAATTATCAAAGTCTGGTGCGGCGTAGACTGTGATTGGAAGACACAAAGTGGCAATCCTAGGCGCGCCTCGGCATCATGGCCGCATCACGTCAAGTCAATATTTTACTAAAAGATTACTATGAATCGGGCCGGGATTTAGAGAAATCATCGTAGTCTTATCAGCGTAACGAGCGAACATGGCCGCCGGAGGCGCCCATTTTGCGAGTCCAATTAAATCGAAAACGAGTTTATTCAACTACAAAAACTCGTCTAGCGTTGGCTTAATTGCTTTTGTACGGAAGCCACCTAGTGCCGGCGCGGTCACGTTTTTCGCAGCCGGCGCGGTCACTTTTTTCGCTTATTAACAAAATTTTCACCGCGTAGTACCGAATGCAACGTGTGCACGAGAATATAAGATGTGAAAATCTGCATCATATTTATTCTTTTATTCTTCGTTCAACTCACAAACATACATTTATTATTCGCGCGATGACGAATCCTCTATGTAACGCCACGAGCACAATATATAAAGAGCACTAACGCTCGCAAAATACAACATACAACACGATTAAACCGGAATCTTGCCCTTTTACTCGCTGGCTGGAGTATCATGCCACAGGCAGAGCGAAGGACTATAGTTTTAGAGCTGCATACCAGCCTGCTCACACTGCATCTATATATATGAACACCGCGTGCGGGTGTTGAATACATATAGATGTAGCGTGAGCGGGTGGACATGATACTGCATCCAGTGATTATAGCGAGCTTTCTTAACCACTGGCAATCCGAATGGGTAAAGATAAGTAAATAACTATTAAGGGATTCAACCCATTTCTAGCAGTCCCCGAATGGCATACACTCCGAATGTTCTTTTATCATAAATGCTCTTAATTGAATAGCGTTAGGGGCTTGAAACAGCAACAAAGTTTCGCGTTGCAACGTGGACATTTATTAAATTCATCTATAGCTACGGAGCGCCATTTACAATTATTATCTTTTAAATGCGGATTATATATTTTGTCCACTGTTTTCCCAAATGGAGTGCAACTGAAGTTGCTCACAACTTTCCTAAGTTTCTCCTTAATTAATAATCATATACAAAGCATAATATCAATCTGTCAAATACAATGCACGTCGTTGCGATTAAACTAGAATTGCGTTAAGAGCCGCACGACACAACATGCACATACGCGCTCGGTTACAACTCAGCTTCGGGTGGAAATGGCGTGTGACAGTTGCCGTGGTACAAGTTCACCGCTCCGTCACATCGGTTGAACAGTTCGAATAAAGCCGAGGGCATGGTGATGGAGCGCGCATACTTGCGGCACAGCTGCCGATTCCACGTGCACGGCAGCGTGTGAAACACTTCGGGATACTCCATGCTCAATATCGTCACCACTTCTTGGTCGCCGAGATGCGATTTCGTGAAATAGTACTTTCGCATTAAATATCTCAGATTTCTCTCGGCTACCGCCGCTTGATATTTCTTAGATTTCGACATGTGGTCGAGGTTGATGAGGTAGAGGCCGCCATTGTAACCCGGTTTGCCACCAGGTGGCGGCATGCCCAGCCTGTCGTCACCAACAGCCTCGCGTGCTATCGCAAACCTTTGATAATATACAGGTTGTTGCTCTTGAGCCAGCGCGAATATTGTCTCCTCTTTGAATTCATCAAACTCCCGCCAAAGTTTCCGAATGTCGGTCATTAATCTCATGTCGGCATCCACCTTGATTATGCGATCGACCTCAGACAGGTCAATGACCTTGTGAAGGGCGAACGGAATGAAGTAAAATATGTCGTTGAAGAGATTGTATTTCTTTCGGTAACTTTTAAACAACTGCTGAATAGGCCATACGTCGTGTCCCACTTTCGCGACGACCGATTCGACTTCGTTTGTCTGCACCTGGTAACGGACCGTGAAAGTATTCAGTATATTATAAGTTTCTAATTTCTAATTTATAAAGTTCGAATTTTTAATTTTCAATTTCTAATTTTCCAATTTCTAATTTTTAATTTCTAATTTTTAAATTTCTAAATTCTAACTTCTAATTTATAAGTCCTAATTTCCACATTTTTATTTATAGTTTATGCTTTATAATATATAATTTATGATATATAATTTATAATTTATAATTTATAATTTATAATTTATAATTTATAATTTATAATTTACAATTTTTAATTTATAATTCATAATTTATAATTTATACTTTCTGATTTCTAATTTCTAACTTCCAATTTCAAAATTCTAATTTCTAATTGTTAACTTCTAATTTCTAACTCATAATTTATAATTTATAATTTCTCACCCTCTAAATCTTCTCTCATCTGTTCTAATTCTACCGCCCCACATTTAATTTCGTTGCGAATGCATCATCAAGAAACGCTAGTTTTGACATATGTGAGCCGGTATCCGCGGATGTCGCACAGGTTAGGAATGCATGATGCAATTAGGAATGCATAGACAATCTCATCTAGCGCAGGTATTTTACGTGTTTCTAATACATGTATGCTTAGATCCTCTCTGTGCGGAATTGTATCGAACACGTTTTCCAGGATGTCGGCTGCGATCCGGGTGCTGTTCGCGTCGCCCAGGAAATGGTACTTGATCCGACCGGTTGCATGCTTTACCGTAGACCTACGTAAGAAAATGCGGTTGTCAGAGTTCGACCAGTGAGTGATGGCGTGGTTAGGGAAAATGCGAGACTGTTGTATATAGGCGTCCACGAGGGTTCTCGTATCACTTGTCTTTGGCTCGATTTAGAAGCCGGGTGCATTTTTACGGTCGCAAACGCTGCTACCGACATTGGAAGGCATTTCTTGGGAATAGCAAGCACGAGCGTGAAAGCTCTCACCACTACTGGACACTAGTATTTTGTGAATACCATGAAATAAAATCGAATTAGTTCTCGTACTGCAACTGGAAAATCGAGATAATGACGTGAAACATATCGATACACGTTCGCACGAGATCAGTGAAACGCCATTTAAGATTAAAAAGCTTACTGTCATGCTTTTATAACGCACGCGATGCGATAACACGACGAATTATTCTAACGGGAAACGAACCTAATGTTGGCTCGAAGTTGCTGTTGAAGATGGTCATTCTTCTCAGCTTTAGCGAAGAACATGAGGATGTGAACTGTTTCCGGCTGTCCGACAGGGTTTCTGCTCTGCTCCTGCTCTGGCAGAAGACTGCAGTAGAGTATGATGGCGAGGGCGCTTACCCATAGCAGGATACGTACTCTTCTGCGACAGACTGTAATAAAAAATGATTCTCTCCGTTACCGCACATTACTATTACGGTAAAACAATCACCGTAAACCAGTTACTCCACTTTGCATAGAGTGACAGTTTTAAGAAAATGGTTAATGATGTTTCCCGCGAGTAAACATGTGTGTCTGTTTGTCTTAGAGGGTGGCGAGAATCAGGTCTTTGGTATGACCCGGCGGCCAACCCACGACCTTACGCATGCGAGGCGAGCACTCAACCATCACCGCGGTCCTCGGTGTGCGCATGCTCACCGACGCCATCCAGCTTCGTCTGCTACTCTCATAACGCGCGCGCGGGTAGCGGCATATCCCGGCGCGTCTGCCCGCATCAGCAGCGGTTCCACACGAGATGCGCGGCCGACGGCTACGAGCCATCTACTGCGTCGTCGCGCTGCTGTGTTGCATCGCGTATCTACTGCGCTATTCGTCCATCGTTGGTGTCGCGCCCTGTGGCGACCGGACGCACCTAACCGGTTACCGGAACCGAAGGGTTACCCACGCAAAGCCCGGTAACCGGACCGTCGATTCGTCGCCGCTGAGAACGCGGCCGGCGGCCGTACCTAGATTCACTGTCGTCATGATGACGTATCGACGCAATGACCTGCTGCGCATGGTACTGACTAACTACTCCAAGATGGCGTTGATATACAGAATCATTCTGCTCTGGCATAATCTGGGTATGTGTTCTACAATTAGTATCAGTAGTAGTTTATAATAATAATAATAATAATAATAATAATAATAATAACAATAACAATAATAATAATAATAATAATAATAACAAAAATAATAATAATAATAATGTTTTATTATTACCATTTTTTATCTAGTCTTGATATCAGAGTTAGTGAAACCAAGTTTCATGTTATCTGGTCATATTTCAGAAGAAGGTGGTGAAAACGTACCGCTTCTCACTCGTTCATCAAAATGCTCTTACAGTTAGCATCATCGGATGTTATATTTGTCAATATGTAGCGATACAACCTTATATTTTTATTAAATATTTATATATTCTTACTTGAATTTTACTATATAACTATTAAATGTTCTTACTTGCTTATATATTATATATTCTACTTATTATTTGTAAAAATGCGTAATTTTTTATTTACCGTACACCTAGTAATTAAGGTGGCTTATTAAGGGTTAAAGCGGAAGTATCACATTTCGCGTGCGCTTTCAGGATGTATGCTGTATAATCCGTTCGTTTATGTTAAAAAAAACACAGGCGAAGAAGTGCCAGATTTTCCCTATGATATCGTCAAAGGCGCCGGCAAAGAACTGATCGTGATTCGACCCGAACGAAATCTGCTGAGTAATCGAATGCGATTATCTGCCGATCTCATGACTGAAGGTAAGAATGAAGACATGGAATGAAATATAGAGATAGATTTTTTAAAAATAGTGAGAGTGGTGGGTGTAGGGAGATCAGAGAGAGAGAGAGAGAGAGAGAGAGAGAGAGAGACAAAGAGAGTGAGAGAGAGAGAGAGAGAGAGAGAGCGAGAGCGAGAGAGGGGAGAGGAAGATACACGATGTTGTGATATGGTAATATCGTAGTATTTTACGATGCTACGATGACAACGGAACCGTGTGTACATTGCAGACATTCAACACGGCAGTTATTCTGCATGTCACTTCTACTTGTTTTGCAGCCGTGCTTATAAGTGACGATGATACCCTGATCAGCGAGGCTGATCTCCTAAGAGCCTACACGCTGTGGAGATGGGTAGGTGCACCAGGGAACCCGTTATTAGAGGCCCAAACTCGTGTCATACTCAACAACTATCACAAGTCTAAGATACGAAACGAATTTTACACGTAATAGTCTAGTGTATAGTGGAACCCATATGCATTTTCGGGTACAATCTTTGAAACTCTCAGGGATTGTATATATGATACCCCTTTATACAAAAACCAATGTTGCCAGATTTGCAAACCCTCCCCCCCCCTAGGTGGTGTAATATGCAAATTAAGGCCGCCATTACCGAAATTTCATTTTTTGCCAATAACTCCTTAAATATGCATGATACCAACATACACTTAGTGTCCGTACCTATGTTTTCAAAGGTAAGAATTAAGATAAAATTATTCCCGAAACGATCGAACCATTAATTAACTCAGAATATCCATGACCAAAAATCCATCTTTTTTCAATATCTCCGTACATATACATGCTAGCAACATATATTTGGTGTCCTTTCCCATGTTTTCAGGGGTGAAGATTAAGATAAAAGTATTCTTAAAACGATCGCACCAGTAGGCCTACATAACTTTATGAAAATAAGGTCATCACTCATTACCGCCATTAACGAATATTAATCATTATCTTTCGGTATCTCGTATAAATATGCATGATATCTTAATATATTTATCGAAGTTTTGAAGGGAACCATAATGGTTTAAGTATATATGACTATTCCTTAGATGCTTTTGCGTTGTGTAACGGCCATTTTGAATAGAAATTTAAAATGGCCGCCATTGATAACAAACTCAACCAAATCATGTTTCTTTTCATTTATGTTTTATTGATAAAATAGTATTGCAAATTATTAAACGAACAACTATGATTAGCACCTAAATTATTGATTGATTGATTGATTGATTGATTAACTTAACAATAACAGCATTTTAAAATTACCAAATAATTAATTAACATTAATACGTCTACCAACTGATATTGCGCAGACTAGCTCAGTGGTAAAACACATGATTGATATGATTCACAGTGTTCATGCTCCTCAGTGAGGATCATGCCTACCGCATGACTCAATCACCTGATGAAGTACTGCTATTCTGACATTTATCTTCTCCTTCACACCAACAAAGTTCAGTTCACACTAAGCCATGTGCTAGACATGAACATCTTGCCGAAGTGCATATTGCATTTCGTGCATTTTGTTTACTAGAACCACACCTACACTTTACTAACTCTACAACAGTAGTTGGGGCTGGGGCAATATCTGACAACTTTGGCACCAATCTGTTGTCTTCTAGTATCCAGCCAAGCTTAAGAGGGTCTGGAACAATGGGATGGGGAATAAGGTCCTGCTCCCATATAGCAGATTGGCAGTGAGCTCTGCGAATATGCTGTACCCAAGCTCCAGATGTTGGTGGTAGCATCTCAACAGTTTTGTCGATGCCTAATTGTTGCTTGAACAAACTCCACCGAAGGATCTGCAGTTGGGTAATGGTGACGCCCTTTTTACAGAAGAGGCTGCATAGAAAGGATATACACCCCTTGATGGTTTAATCTGAAGGTTCACTTCCAACTCCAAGGGCAGCTATGGCAGCTACAATACATGGGTCTGCTTTCAAGAATGTATTCAAGCAGGCAATCTTGGATTTACTCCTTATGTGTCCTGTCGTGTCACAACCCGTCAAGGCATGCCATTTGCACAAAGCTCTAGTTTTATTTTCCCCAAGAGCATTAAAGATTGGCTTTAGCATAACAAGTCGACGTTTATCGCTTGTACCCATAACCATAGCTGCGTTTTCACCACGCAAAGGCAAACGCCTTAACGCAGCAAGCAACACATCTGTGTCTTGACTGTATATATGAATGACATATCCAGTCTTTGCTGCTTCGACAGCATGGAATATCATCAACGTGTCAGCCTCTTCCTGGGAGCTAACACCAGGAGTTATGTCACCAGAGCGGTTCGACATAACATCCTTATGTGTTGCAGTTATGATGTCAACATGAGCGTTATCTATGACTCATGAGCTTCTGTGCCAGATAGAGTGTGAGTGAATCTTTTGTAGTATTGCTACTAAGAAACGTTTTCCTCTCGTTAATTTTGGTGCTATCATTGACCTGATAGCCAACTGGTGGCTTTTTACCTCCTCGGCGTCGTTATCGGGTCGTTTCCTTTAATGATCCTGTTATAGAGTAATTGTCAAATACAACACGGGTAACCTCGTAATTACGGGCTTTCGCATTTATGAGTTCAACATATGCATTGCTGAGGTCAAGGCAGGTCTCAAAGGATCTAACAGCCATTAGCTCCTGCACGACAGCCATCCCATCTACTATGAGACACTTGCTCGTTGTTGGTGACAATGCAACTGATGATACCATATTTTCGTCATCTCTCTCGTCTGGCATGTTCTCAAGAACGGCTATCACCTTACTTTTATCCAAAGTTGGATGAACACCGCCAGTTAATGTCATTAAAGTGCGGTTGCTAGTAGAAAACTCATAGTTGCCGATGACCTCTTCCATGTCAATCTCGCGGGATGACCGAGCAATGATGAGTAATCTGGACATTAGACCTGTGGTTGCTCGTAGAGTTAGGACCTCAGACTTGGCTTGCAGTTTGATCTCTTTCAATGACGAGTTCCAAAAAAGGGGCTTACACTTTGTCATCTTGTCCCAGAGGTTGGTGTCTCCACATATCCTTTCCTCAACAAATGTATTCATCGCAGTGGAGCCTCTTCTTTCTGTTGCCAAGATGCTCTCCTCTATTTCTTTTGGAATGATCTCCTTGGTCATGAGCTTAAACATGTGCGTTTCATCAGAGGTGAATATGTTACATGGTTTTATAACTCGACTCAGGTTTGCAATAGCTTGCTCTTGCCTCCTCACTGTTGGCTGGTTAAGACGGTGATGCACAGTTCTATTCTGGTTTATCATCCCGATCATGTTTTCAGTCTCATTAGCAATTCGTGCCAGTTCAGGCGCACACATGCAGAATTTGAGAAGTGTAGCAGGAGTTTGTGTTATGCCATTGATAGCACCCTGGCCTTTTAGGGTTTTGTTGCCCTGCTCCTGAGCTTGGTCTACCCCAAGGCGGGTAAACGGAATCGTGTTTAAACTGTTCACGGTGAACTCTCCTGAACTATTCTGGAGTATTCTGTGCATAATCAAGTCTATCATATGCAAGAAAGTAGACACATAGTTTCTCAAGAGAAGACAAGTGTAGAAACCAATCACCCTCGCGAGTTGACCGGTGGAATTGCAGCAAGGTCATAACTTGTCGCATAAACATAAGTGCCCATTGACACATGGGATGACCACCGTGTCTTGCATCAAAGGCAGCCAGCTGCTTGTGGAGATTGAGAGATTCAATTGTAACAAGTAATGTCATGTGTGCATCATGACCACCTTGTTTGGATTCACATGCAGTTGACAGTTGCTGAACACTATCTTCTAGTGCAGTTCTTACTGCCGGTTTCTCGGTGAAGAACGTTTCCAGCCAGAGATCGAAAAACACTTGTAGTGTGATCTCATGGGCTTCTACAGCTCTACTGTAGTGATTACCATTGATGATCTGGTTTACAGTCACAGAACTGTAAGTACATATCTGCTTCAACCCAAGCATCGTCTATGCCACTGCCCTCTATAGTTTTTCCCAAGCATCTCAGAGCACACAGTGACATATGGAATGATAATGACAAAGAATAAATTTATTTCGGTATTAAATGTTAACAGCTAATTTGCATATTTAAAGTTATGTACTGGTGTGATCGTTTCAGGAATACTTTTATCTTAATCCTCACTCCTGAAAACATGGGGAAGG